CTTGCCTTTTAAGGGCTACAGGCCTGTGGCAGCATAGGGCAGGGCTTAAAAAACATCCCTGGCACCTAGTTGCTCAAAGACAAAATAAATTAAACCAGTAAAAAATGCCTGTAATATCTATCTATATCTATATCTATATATATATATCTAGTGCCATACCGCCAAGACCTGAAGAACTCTGTGTAAGCTCAAAAGCTTGTCCCTTTCACCAACAGAAGTTGGTCCAATATAAGATATTACCTCACCCACCTTTTCTCTCTAATAAAATATTTCCGTTCTTTCCCCCATCCCAAATCAATTTAACCCTCCCACATCCGTCCCCGTGTATCTCTTAGTGAGCTCTTCTTCACATTTGCATGTTGCAGCAACTGTCTGCTTAGCTTCCCTCCCTCTAACAAGATTCTCTTGGTAATCTGCTGCCCAGAGAAAGAGGAGATTGGCAGTGGCAGCAACATTCTCTTAGCTACATCTGAGCTGTCTCCACCCAGTTCCTCCTCTACACCCTCAACTTTGTAGTGAAACAGAGTGAGAGCATGAGTTAGAAGAGCTGAGAGAAAGAACTGCTGCATAGTCGACAAGGACCCTGTCCGTCCAGGAGCAGAGGGGATAGCCTTCTGCTATACAGAGTTGGATATAAAAGTGGGACACCACCACCCTGTTAAGAAGCCCTGCTGCCATCCCCAGATGTTGGGAGGAGGAGGAGGATGCTATCCTTCACGCCATTTGAAAGCTACATCTTTCATATCAGATTTGGTTTAGGCAGTGTTTCATTAATTTGAAGCTATATCCTTCTAGCTACTGGAAGAGAGAAACCAACTTTCTATTTCTTCTCTTTCCACCAAAGCTTCTGGGATGCTGGAGTGGGGGGAGAGAGAAAAAAGAGATCTCTGTTACTCTACCCATCTCCTAGCATCATTTTTAGTATCCTTTAAAAAAAAAAAAAAAAAAATCACACTGTCACAAAGCAACTTCTGTTTGGGAAAGGGGGGCCGGAGAAGATACATTCAGGACTGAAGTTTGCTAACAGCATTGCACAGGAGCACTATATATGCTTCTAGCTGTCAGTTTGATAAGCTTCAGTAATCCACCCATGTAGCTTTTCTTAATTAAAATAAATCTAGACAAGATCTCTTTAGAAGGAAAGAAGCTGTGCTTTTGTAAATGTAAATGAAAATGGAAATTGACATACTGAATTCATCTGTATGCCAATCAAGGAAAGATTTTTGTTATCTTCCCAACATTATTGGTAGCCTTTCACAACTGTATACGTGCTGTGCTTTAACACTAAAAACAATGAAAGCTTACATTCCATTCTTTTAATTTTTTGTGAACAAAGCACATCAGTTTAACCAAAGTCTATACTTTGATATACTGTACCTTTTCTGGTGGTTCTAATGGTCTCAGAAAACAGTAAAGGGCTTCCATTGGAAACTTCATCTATAGGCTTCTCTGGTGGTTTGTTGGCAATACTTTCTTTCTTCATGTCCTTCTTTATTTCCTGTATAGGAGGAAAAAGGAAAGACAGCTTACAAGATGTCTCACAGGATACTCTTAAGTCTCAAGTGTCCAGTACTGGAAAAAGTCATAGATGTGAACTGTGATAAGTTCCAAAGTCTCAAAGTCTGACAGCTAGACTCACCCTTGTGTATTTATATTTCACAATAATTTGGGTTATTCTTACTCTTCTCTGCAGAAAGCAGAGTGTTACACTCTTACCATTGTACAGTTATGGTAGTTACAGGTTATTGCCACTCCAGTACATGGAACAACTGGACAAATTTTTGAACTGGCATCTATCATATTTAAGGGCTTCCAAACACTTTTGTTTAAATTAAGTTAATTTTAAAAAAATCACGCAGTGGGCAACTCAAGATTGTGTCAGATAAAATCTTTAAACTGCCTCTCCCTTCTCACAATAATAATAATATTTCAATTCAAACTGCTGTAGTATATACCCAGTGTGTGTACAGCCACAACGTAATAAATAATATTTCTTCCCCAACTCCTAGACATATTTATAAGTGAAAATGCCACAATGAAAACCAAGCAATATTCGGGCTAATAGATTATCAAAATTTTCCCCAATCAGTGTTTTAAAAGGGTCAATCTCACCAATTTAATCACATTTTTGTCTGTAAAATGTCTGCCTTCTATTTTACCAGCAACACCTAAAATTACTATAGCTGAACGATTACAGAAAAATATTTTTCACCATTGTTCTAACATGAATACTTGTGCATTTGACAACGTAGCACAGAGTCAGCTACATGGTTACCCTTGTAAAGGCAGTTAAGTCAGTTTGTCGTGTTGTTTCTGTAGGCATTTCAACAAAGCAACAGGGGGATATGAAAACATTTTTTTTTTAAATAGGAAAATCTGACTAGCACTATAAATATTGTAAGGGGCACCCAGGGCAGCTACTACAGATAACATATTTTGCAACTGACTACCTTTTAAAGAGACTGTCTCTTTAGCAGTGGACAGGGGGAAAACCAGTGGAGTGAACTTTCATCATAGAAATACTTCTCCCTCCCTCATCACTGAGCCAAAGGGAAAGGGTTTCCCAATAGTTCACAGTTAATTCTCATTAAACAAATATTTACAGAACATATGCAGGAGCACCATTCCACAAACCTTTCATGCAGACCTTAAAATACAACCTACTCTCAGTTCTTATTTGGCCTCATCACTGTAATATCTGAACACCACATAATCTTTAACAATCTTCACAACATCCCTCTGAAGTCACACAGGAAGTCTGTAATGGAGTAGAAAATTGAACCTGGGTCTCCTAAGTTCCAGGCTAGAGCCCCCCGCTCTGACTCACTTATCTTTAACTTTTTTGTTCTAAATTCTAACAAACATCTAAACTTACATTTTATTTCTACAATTTCAGACCCCGAAATGTCTCAGCAGTAATATTGTGAATCCTCTTGATATTTTTCTAAAGGTTTTTATTAAATGTAGCCACCCAAACAGTACTACTTAACCAGGCATTGTATTATCATTATTTGTATGAACCTGAGCTGTCTGCCACTTCTCCAAAATGCATGCACGTAGGATGCAATTAATGCACAGATGTCAGAAAGTGGAAGTTGTATAATGCTGCACCTTTAAGGACTGAACATGTCTGCGATTGTGCATGAGCTTCCCAAGCAGTGCATAGCATCATATCCCTATGCTTAGTATGCATGATCCAGAAAGTATACTCTAAAAATGATGCATGCATTTAAAAAGGTAACAATACTTTTTAAAAATAGACTAGTCCAGTACATGGATTGTTACAAGAGTATATTTTTAAAATCTGAAAATGGAAGGCAAGAATGAACTTGTTCATTCTAAGTCTGGAGTTCCCAAGCTCAGTTTGCAACTCTAAGTGACAGACTGTTTGCCAGAATATCAAATGGATACTGACAATTTAAGTGGAAGGAGCTAGCATGTCAAAACATTAGTCTTCTTCAAGCATGACCTCAGAGGTCCTGCCTTATTGCCAGAGGTAGTTTCCTATGCACATTGCCAAGTGGATTTTTCAAAACCTCATGTCAATATGAAACTCAATGTTCAGCTAACAAGAATCAGAAAATTAACTTCTACAGTTACCAGTGGCAAATAGAACACTTTTTCCTTGTTGAATACGGAGCATGGGGAAGTAATAAGCCAGCAATTTCTACAGAATATGATTTTCAATACAAAAAATTACATTCATAGCTCAAAAAAAGGAAGACTTCTGATGTGAACGAGCGAAGTGCAGCCTTCTAGAGTCTGTAGAGACAACTCTAGTGCTTCTGCTCCAGTTTACAGCTTTCCCAAAAAGCACCACTGTTCAATTTACAAAACACAGGGAGCTGGAGAAAAGAGAGTGCCACAAGCTGGATTTTTGAAGGGAATTGGGCTCTACCTCACCAGTGAGGGATTAGCTACCTACCCCTCAAACGCATACCCAATTGATCTTGATGGGCTGGGCCAACTATCAGATCCAGGTGGGAAGGCGTTAGGAGCTTTCCATAAAAGGCTGGGGAGGCAACAAACTTATCAAACGTCTCCTAGCCAGGGGCTGACAAAGATGCAGCCCCATCCCACTTTCAGAGATCAAGGATGGCGGCATCCTCATGCCCATCACCTGTAGGTTGGAGTGGGGGCTGGAACTCTCACCAGCATCTCCCCTGGACCTCATGGGTAGGGCTCTTCTCCCCTTCATTATTCATACACCTCTACCCCGCTATAACGCAGTCGTGTGGAGCCAAAAATCCCTACCACGTTATAGCTGAAACCCCGTTATATCGGGGTTGGGGTGGCAGGGCTCCAGCGGTTATTTAAAGGGCCCTGGGTTCCCCGCAGCAGCCGGAGCCCCGGACCCTTTAAAGCGCCGGCGAGCCCCGCTGCCACAGCCCTGGGGTAGCAGCAGCAGGGCTCCAGCGGTGATTTAAAGGGCCTGGGGCTCCCCGCAGCAGCCGGAGCCCCAGACCCTTTAAAGTGCCGCCGGAGCCCCGCTGCTACCGCGCTATACGCAAACCCATGTTATATCGGGTCACGTTATAGCGGGGTAGAGGTGTATTAGCCTTTGTCTAATACTCCGCCCCATCCCACTCCACTATCTGTAGATTTTAATAGCTACCACCCCACAGCTAATTAAGATTGAGGGGGGTTGTCTCTCCCCCAAACTCCTACTGATGTGAGGGGGCACCAAATTCTGACTTATGCAGGGTCCTGTACCACAAGAGGCTGGTCTTGATTAACCATGTTAGGGCAAGCCACAGCTGGCTCCGAATCCTTGAATGCTTGTGAAGCTCTCCAGAAGACAACAGATATCATAGCTGATAGGGCGTCTTCATAAAGTTTTATTGAGTCAAACTAATGAAAAAGGGACTATGGAAGAGATGAATGGCATTCTTCCACACACTATACATATTTTTTTTAAAAACTGTTTTCTTGGCATCACATGAATAAAAATGGCATTTTCATGTCTCATACCAATAATATATTCACTACCTCTTGAGTCTGTGATTCTAAGGACTCCAGCAAAGATGTCCAGAACATAAGAGAAAGAAGTCTCTTATTCTGAAAGTTGAATGCTTCCAGATTACATCTATTTCAGACACTTTCCAGAAGAAAATCATTCTCCAGCTTCCTAGAGCAAATCTCTCACTAACCCTCCAAAGAGGCTTTTCCCTTATCAACTACCATACCAACCTGCCAGCTTGCACTCCAAATTTCATCAGACTAGTGATCCTTCTTGCTGTCTGGCTATCTGCTTTATGGTCTTGAGTGCCTTAAGATAACCCTTGAATTTCCCCCCCTAAGACCCTGATCTTGAGAAACTGATGCAGATGCTTAACCTTTAAGCACATGAGCAATGCTACTGAACTCAAAGTTATGCACATAAATCTGCAGAATTGAGGCCACAGTTTGCAACCTCACCTCTCTGGTTCCTGGTAGTTGTGCTAACTGTCCAGTCTCTCTATTTCTGTCAAATCCATCTTGAATGGTCAACACCGGCCATACCAGATCTAACCTTACAGACCTTGGTGTAATTAAATGTTTCCTAATTCCTCCCCTAACTACAGTGTATCAGCCCACTCTTTCTTTCACTCTATTCTTTTTCATTAACCTACACAAGAGACCCACACTGGCTTTCTAGTTTGCTTTCTCTCCTCCTCACCTCACTGGACTTGGTTCAGCATCCCATGTTACTTCTGCTCCTCGAGCCTTTTTTACATACTATATACAAACAATAACATGAAATTAGAGTCCCAATCCTGCTTGGATGGAGTTGCAGATTAACCAGAGACTGAATGTAGAAAATGTAGGAAAATCTCTAAAATGGAACTGGAAAACAGTGAAGGTGCAAGCCAATTCCTTTTAAAAAAAACTTACCAAAAAGGCCTTAAAAGTAAGACCCAAAATTTAGAAATACACTGGGGTGAGATTCTCTGCTGCACATTTAAGAAACTCAGCACAGAACATGCAGCCTAGGAGGAGGGGAGGCTATGGTGACTTTGAGCCACCTATGCACCCTCTTTATCCTGGGCTGTTCCATCCAGGGGTTGGATCAGTTCTTGGCATAACAGACAGGCCTAAGGGCCTTTGTAAATTACGACAGCCTTACTGGGCTACATTGCTTCCCGAAATCTATGCAGCACTCCTGCTCCACCCCTAACATGCTGCTTCTTCGTTCTTCCCTCAGTCCTGTCCCCTCCGTTAGGGCTTATGGGAGTCGTCAGAGAGCAGCCTTACAGCTGTCCTCCACAATGTCAACATTAAGGGAATTCTCCCCCTGCTGAAACCAGGGTTGTAGGACCGCCTGTATGCCGCTCCAGCCCTTTTACCTGGTGTAAGAGAGCTGGAGTGGGGATGAGGCTCTTACCCTAGGACTTGGCAGTCTGTCTCAAATAATTGCATTGATGCTTGAGATAAAATAATGCAGACAGAGGCATCAAACTCTGGCCAAGAAGTTCTAGTTTGCATGGTTATCATAGTCTACACTGGCTCATAATGAAG